ACTTGATTACATAGGGAAAAGAGAATGAATATCCAGTTTGTTGAGTCAGTCCCTTGAGTCGGAATTCTTACTCCCGTGAGTGAGGTTCCATTTGTCTTTCTTTGTCTTTAGTTCTGCAGAGTCACTTGCCTGAGTGACTTTACCCACTCGTGCAAGTGAGTGACACTCTGCAACATTCTTTCTTGTTTGTCCAATTTTGTGTTCCGGTTCTTTGAAGTTTAACCGTCCCTGTGGGATCGACCTGACTTATCCTATCTACAGTTTAAGTTGGTAAATTATTTTGGGGGCTTCGACAACCCACCATGGACGTCGTAGCCCCCTTTTATATCATACTCGGGAGACCTTAGATGACTAAAGCGAAGGCTGTCTACTCACCCTACCATCTGGTCATGAAGTTCCCAACCGAGGCGGGCGTCGCGGAAGTTCGGGGAGACCAGCAGCTAGCCCGGCAATGTATGGTCATCGCTGCCAAGAAGGGACGCAATTTTCTCTAGGAGAAGGCGACCGTCGGATCAATCCAGAAGGCCCCGACCTTCGAAGAGGGGGATCCAGTAACCGATGACCCTGTCCCCGCGGATGAAGGAGTTGCCGACGTTGCCTTGAATCCATTCGTGGAAGGGAGAGTCATTAGCCTTGGGGTGGCTCTGCCCTCTAGCCTACGGGACATGGTAATTGAATTGTTGAAACAGTTCGAAGATGTCTTCGCTTGGAGCCCCAGCGACATGACGGGGATTCCCCCCAAACTGGGTGTGCACAGACTCAATGTCGATCCTCGGGCCCGGCCCATACAGCAGAAGAGACGGAAGATGGCCCCCGAACGCAGCGCTGTCGTCGATGTGGAAGTCGCCAAGCTCTTGTCCGCGTCCATCCTTAAGGAGATCTGTTACCCTACGTGGCTGGCTAATCCCGTTATGGTTAAAAAATCCGACTCTTCCTGGCGCATGTGTGTGGACTACAAGGACCTCAACAAGCACTGCTCGAAGGATTGCTATCCCCTCCCCGCCATTGAACAGAAGGTCGACGCTATCTCGGGGTACCCCATGCTTAGCTTCCTTGATGCATATAAGGGGTACGACCAGATCCTTATGCACAAGGATGATGCCGAGAAGACCGCCTTCTTCACCGAGAAGGGGATGTTTTGTTACGTAAAAATGCCATTCGAACTCAAGAATGCGGGAGCTACCTACTAACGAATGGCCAACCGTATCTTCGGAAGCCAGCTGGGACGGAACATGGGGGTTTACATGGATGACATAGTTGTGAAGAGCCGAAGGATGGACCTCGTGGTTGACGATCTCCGAGAAACCTTCCAGACCCTCCGGTCGTCCAACATGAAGTTGAATCCTAAAAAGTGTGTGTTCTGCGTCGGATCAGGAAAGTTCTTGGGATTTCAGGTTTCTCGAAGAGGAATTGACGTGGACCCTACGAAGATTCGGGCCATCTTGGACATGCAAGCCCCGCGCTCCGTCAAGGAGGTACAAAGGCTTACAGGCTCGAACGCCACCTTAGGACGGTTCCTGTCAAAGGCGGCCGAACGAAACCTGCCCTTCTTCCAGGTCCTCACAAAGTCTGACGCCTTTGGCTAGACTGAGGCGTGCCAGAAGGCTTTCCTAGAACTCAAGGAGCACCTAAAGACTCTTCCGACTCTGGGCACGCCCGACCCGGGGGAAACTCTAATTTTGTACCTGGCCATGGGAGAGACCACCGTGAGCGCAGCGTTGGTGCGGGAACATGGGGTAACGCAGATTCCCGTCTACTATGTCAGTAAAGTTCTCCTACCCGCCGAGTCCCGATACACTATGGCGGAGAAGCTGATATTCTGCCTTGTGACTGCGGCCAGAAAGCTACGCCCATACTTCCAGGCACACCCTATCGTCGTTCTTACAGACCAGCCCCTACAGCAAATTCTCCGAAGGTCCGACACGTCCGGTCGGATGGCCAAATGGGCTGTGGAACTCGGAGAGCATGACATACAGTTTCGGCCTCGAACTTCAATCAAGGGTCAAGCCCTAGCCGACTTCCTAGTCGAAGTTCCCCGAGGGATGGAAGCCACGAATGAAGAATGCCCACGGGACGCCTCCTTGGCTCCCGTCGAATCACAAGGGTGGACGCTGTTCGTAGACGGATCTGCATCAAGGGAAGGTTCAGGTGCGGGGGTGGTTTTGACCGACCCCCATGGGTCGGAAGTTGTCTATGCCATTCAACTGGACTTCCCTACCATGAACAACGAGGCAAAGTACGAAGCGCTGATCGCTGGGCTTTCAATTGCCCGCGCCCTCGGAATCTAGGAGGTGTCGGTCTGCAGTGACTCTCTGGTGGTCGTCAATCATGTACTTCAGTTATACGAAGCTCGGGAAGCGACCCTTCAGAAATACCTTCAGAGAGTCCGGGCGCTGGAATGCGGCTTCCGCGCCTTCCACATTCGATATATTCCGGGGTCGCAAAATAAGAAGGCTGATGCCCTAAGCATGTTGGCCTCCTCCCGCGCCGTGCGCTTGACCCAGCGTATCCACATCGAAGTCAAGACCCGCCCAAGCATTCTTGAAGATGAATCCTTGCCCGTGTTACTTGACGAAGCTTCCTGGATGGCGCCGTTCATTCAGTACCTCCGAATAGGAACATTGCCGCCAGACCCGAGGGAAGCCCGGAGGATTCGGCTCAAAGCGCCTAAGTATCTGCTCAGGGAAGGGATCCTCTACAAGCGAGGGTATCTGACTCCTCTGTTGCGCTGTGTTGGCCTGCGGGAGGCAGGAGCCTTGGTGCGAAGCATGCACGAGGGCGCTTGTGGGGGACACTTGGGTTCGCGGAACCTGGCTAAAAAGTTGATCCGCGCCGATTATTACTGGCCTACTCTGGCTAGGGATTGCTACGACCTTGTCGTTCGGTGCGCGCAATGCCAAAGGCATGCTCCCATTCCGCGCCTTCCCCAGCACGAAATGGTCCCGATTACCAGCCCTTGGCCTTTCTACAAGTGGGGCACAGACATAATAGGGCCGTTCCCCGTAGCCCCGGGCAAGCTCAAGTTTGTGATCGTCGCGATCGACTACTTTTCCAAATGGGTCGAGGCAGAGCCTCTTGCTTCCACCATAGGGGAGAACGTGGCCAAATTTTTCCGGAAGAACGTAGTCTGTCGGTTCGGAATCCCGAAGGTCCTCGTCTCAAACAATGGGACCCAGTTTGAATCAAAGATCTTCTTGTCCTGGTGTGAACAGCTGGGGATCGAACAACGGTTCTCGTCCGTGGCCCATCCTCAGGCTAACGGGTTGGCTGAAAACATAAATAAGGCCATCCTCCAAGGTATGAAGAAGCGACTCAAGAAAGCCGAAGGGCTGTGGCCCGAGGAGCTGGCACACGTCCTCTGGTCCATATGCACTACCATGAGAACGGCAACAGGGGCAACCCCTTTTAGCCTTGTTTACGGCATGGAGGCCGTTCTTCCAGCTGAGATTGAGGTCCCCAGCCCCCGTGTGGTCAACTTTGCAGAAGAAATGAACGAAGGCGAAGTCCGCTTGTGCCTCGATTTCCTGGACGAGCGTCGGGATCTAGCCAAGGCCCGCGAAGCCCGATACAAACAGATCATGTCCAAGTACTACAATGCCAGGGTTCGGGCCCGAGACTTCGATGTCAGAGACCTTGTCCTTCGCCGAAATGAGGTAAGCCACTCCGGACCGACCGGTAAGCTGGCTCTGAACTGGGAGGGACCGTACCAGGTTGTGGAAGTTTCCCCTCGGGAAGTTATCGTCTACACACGTGTGATGAGGAGCCCCGTGCCATACCCCGATGGTGAAACATCTAGAATCTGAAAAAGTTCAATGCTTAAAAAGGCCCCTGCCCTCTTTTGTATAAGATATCAGCATAGGAAAGCTTCGACGCTTTTGGCAAATGTATAAAAGAACCTCCTGTGCTTTCCTACCAAGTGCCCTTTACAAGGCCGTTTCGACCCCAGTGGCCGACGGCACCGCGCGCGGCCTATGGAACCCTGACGGTCCCTGCGACCTTGGGGCCTTTATAAAGCCGTCTCGACCCCAGTGGCCGACGGCACCGCGTGGCCTCCACGGCCTGCGGTACCCCGACGGTCCCTGCGACCTTGGGGCATTTACAAGGCAGTCTCGACCCCAGTGGCCGACGGCACCGCGTGGCCTCCGCGGCCTGCGGAACCCCGACGGTCACCGCGACCTTGGGGCATTTACAAGGCCATCCCGACCCCAGTGGCCGACGACACCGCGTGGCCTCCGCGGCCTGCGGAACCCCGACGGTCCCCGTGACCTTGGGACATTTACAAGGCCGTCTCGACCCCAGTGGCCGAGGGCACTCCCTGGCCTCCACGGCCTGAGGAACCCCGACGGTCCCCGTGACCTTGGGGCAATCACAAGGCCGTCTCGACCCCAGTGGCCGATGGTACCGCCTGGCCTCCGCGGCCTGCGGAACCTGACGGTCCCCGCGACCTCGGGACATTACAAGACCGTCTCGACCCCAGCGTCCGACGGCACCGCGTGGCCTCCGCGGCCTGCGGAACCATACTCCTATAACAACAATACGGTCGAAATATGAAATCCGGGGGAAGATACTCCTATCGCTATCGCCTCCGTCAAACGACAGCAACATGTCGGCAGTAAAAAGAATTTCATATGCACAACCATGAAAACATGAATAACAATAACAAAACAAGTAAACAAAACAAATGATGTATTCCGGGTCGATGGTCAAAAAAAGGAGCTCAAAATTTCAAAATGTCTTGAAAATTTTCATGTACACAGCCCTCGGACCTATACATTCGACAAAAATACAGGGGTAGCTTAACCTAATCACGTGTTAACGAGACCCTCGACCCAACTCGAAGAATAAAGCGTCGTTCTCGTATATCATGCGTTCGACCTCACGGGTCGGAGAAGTGGGCTCGTCTCTCATAGCTGGACAGGGTTCGGGCCACAATGAAGGATATCGCGCTCTCAAACACCGTCCGAAGCTATCCGGCATATGCCCAATGAGCCTCGATCTTATCAGAGGAATGATATCCTAAAGTAGTTACGGGGGATAAAATCTTCCGGATCGGGTTCGACTAAACCCACATCCTTCTTCTTCTTCCGTATCTTGGCTTCGAACGTCCGGAGGCGGTTGTTAGCCAACATCTCTAATTGTGTGGAATTCTTTAGATGGTCTTCCCAATAAGCTTCCGTATCCCGCCACAACTTATCCAGACGGTCGTTCTCGGCCTTCGCCTTGAGAATGGCCTCACAAGCCTCGTGCAACTCCGAGGCCCGGAAGGTTTGCAGAGCTTCTTTGAGTTGCCCTTCAAGTCCTGACAGCCGCCCTCGACCCGTATCAACGTTCGGATATGCCAAAGCCCCCCATACGGTCGCGTAAAGTGGAAAGGCCGTGGGGTCGTGATGAGGGTAGGGCAACTGCAGGTCAATCCACGGGATCCCTGAAGTCTCCCAAAGACCCGGAGTCGCTGGCAACCCTCGGGAGGTCCCGTCCGGGTGAGAGGGGAAGTCTAGAGCCGTGCCCTTCCCCTGTAAGGAAGCGCGTGTTAGCAACAAGCCCTAAGGACGCGCATTCCCAAAGGTAGAAACAAGTTCGCACTGAGGAACAGATGCTTAAAAAGAAAAAAAAATACAGACTAAAACTGGAAATTTCCAATTGAGATGGTTCCGGTAAAACGGACGTGGTGATAAGTCCGAATGTGCGAAATAGGAGATGACGGAGAGTAAACATAAGTTTCATTGTTTAAACGAATTAAAATTCAGATACAACAGGGGAAGCCCCGGGGACACGATTGCCGGGAATCCTAACCCTACGCATCGTTCACCTTGTCTCCGCTGCAGGCATTGGAATCCGTGGATGTTGCTCCTCCTCCTCGGCTGCCGGAGTTATGTCCCTGGGGTGGAGGCTCGGATGCGACTATCTCAGGTTCCTCCTCCGGTCCCGGCGGCGTGCTGGGGGCGTCTCTGTTCCCCTCGGCATCTGGAAGATGAACGAGGGACTACCCGGGATGTTCAGGATGTCCTCGGGCTTTGAAAGGGAGGCGCAGACTTCGGAAATTTACTGCATGATGGGGAGACTGGCAAAATCCATATCCCGGAAGTGTTTCCGGGCCTTGCACCGCATTCGCACTGCAGACGTCTTCCCTTTCCTGTCCCTGTCAGCATACTTTTCGAGGATAGGCTGGATGTCCTCATTCTTCTTCTGGGCCACCACGATCTCCAAAACGACCTTCCTCGCCCCCCTCTCCATGGCTGGGTCCATGACATCGTTTATCCCGAGGGCGAACTCGGTCGACCCCAGCTACCGTTGGACCCCTGCCAAGATGTACGTGTCCAGTCGAGATTTTGAGACACTCGTGGCCAGCAAGCTTTCCATCTCGAGGCGGTGGGTCAGCTCCGTGTCCTTGAGTTCCGCCTTCACCCGTGCAACCTCCTCTTCCAGGCGCTTCCTCTCTTCTTCCAGATGCGCTCTTCTCCCTTCCGAGGCCTTAAACATGACCTCCATGTCCCTGGCCCTGTTGGCCTCGCTCGTGGCCGTCCTCTGGACCGAAGCCAGCTGCTCCCTCAGGCTCGCGCATACGGACACGAAAGTGTTGACCGCTTGCACAGCCTGCGACGGGGACGACCTAGGTCAGCGAGGGAACACGCTTACGAGGAAAGACCCTTGGAACTAAAAACAAAAGAACTCACCTGTCTCATGCCGTCCTCCAGCCTCATTGCTCCGGTCTCGGGTAGCTCAGAGCACTCCACCCGAGGAGGATCGAAGGTCAGCAGAGCGTGGCCCGCGAGTATGTCCTCGAACAAATCGGAGCCCCGACCCGGGTCTGCATATCCCTCCTTCAGAAGATCGTCCAAGGAGGACAATTCGTGGATCGATGGGAGGCTAAAAGACAGCGGGTCCACCTCCACAACCTCCGAGGCCCCCCTCTTCCTCTTCAGGTGACCTGAGGGTCGACCGGAGGAGCTCCCCCCCTTGGAACCTTCGACAGGCATCCTCGTCGCTTGCCCGGAGGAGGCCGCCCCCGTCTTCGGCGGGGCGACCTCCCGCGGTTCATCTTCGGCGTACTGCTCTTCCTCATCTGAATCATCAAAAGCCGAATGTTTGCCCATCAAAGTAGCAAATACACCTATCAACAGAAAATAACCAAAGTTAGTCTTTGGGTAAGATACCTTGATTACGAGAGTTGATCCGGTCGCTTAGCGACGCGATTTGCCTATAGGTATAAGTCTTCTTCCAGCCATAGGAAGTAAATGGATCTATAAGATCAAGCATAAACCAGATGGGTCCATAGACAGGTTTAAAGCTTGACCAGTAGCAAAGGGGTATTCCCAAGTGGAAGGTGAGGATTTTTACGATTGTTTTTCTCCTGTGGATAAGGTGGTAATAGTCAGGTTGTTTTTAGCTATAGCTACAACTTCTGCTAGGCCTATTCATCAAATAGATATCAACAACGCCTTTCTACATGGTTTTCTTGAAGAGGAGGTATATATGGAACCTCCAGAAGGGTATACCAAAGCTCGACCAGGACAAGTTTGCAAACTGACAAGATCCTTGTACGGTTTGAAGCAAGCATCTCGTCAGTGGAATGTGGAGTTGACTACACAACTTCAGGTTTTTAGTTTTAAACAGTCTGTTAATGACCCTTGCTTGTTTATAGGCTGCATAGAAGGGCATTTTACTGCTCTTCTTGTATACGTTGATGATGTCTTGATTACTGGAGCTAGTGAGGCAATCATCACCAAAGTAAAACAGTTTCTGCATCAGAAATTCACCATCAAAGACTTGCAGTATGCCAAGTACTTTCTTGGAATCAAGCTTGCCATATCTCCAGAGGGTTTGTACTTGAATCAGCGTAAATATATCTTAGATATCTTGCAAGATACTGGATTGCTGGGCTACAAAGCATCTAGTACTCTCCTTCCCAAGAATCATCAGTTTTCAGATGATCCAGGTCCTTGTTTGGAAGATGCTTCAGGTTATAGAAGACTAGTTGGACAGCTCTTGTATCCCAACTTTACTTGTCCAGACATAACCTTTGTTGTGCAGCAACTGAGTCAGCACATGCACACACCTGGTGTAGAGCATGGAGAAGCTCTTTTACATGTCCTGAAGTACTTGAAAGGTACAGTCTCACATGGCCTGTTTTATCTTTCTGATAACTCTCTCAGGATGGAAGTGTATAGTGATGCAGATTGGGGTTCAAATCCCCATCACAGGAAGTCAATTTCTTGTTACTGTGTATTCGTAGGACCTGCTTTGATTTCATGGAAGGCCAAACACCAACACACTATCTCATGATCCTCAGCTAAAGCTGAATACAGGAGCCTGAGCTTTTCAATTCACAAGCATGGGGAGGCTTTCTTGATTGAAAAACCGGCTTCAGGACTCTATTAAAGGGGAGCTGCACTCTCAGAAATGGGCATCTCTGGCTACACCTTTCAGTTGCCAAGAACACATAGAAAACACCAGAAGAAGGCAAGAAGGAAGAAGGAACAACAACAACTCAGTAAGGAAGCCAAGTTGAAGAACAGCCATCCCAGTCACTGCCTCACTTCCATGAGTGAACTCTTTCACTCTCAGGAGTGGTTCAGAACTGCACAAGCTTTTTTCTCGTCTCTTGACTGTTAGCTTGAACTTCGTTTTATGATGCATACTTCTATGATGTCTTTTGATGTAGTAAATGTAGTATTAATCTGCATGAGTAGATCTTGGACGGTAGGAATCAGAGAATTTTCAAAAGCATTACTAGATCTTGGTGCAAGCATAAATCTCATGCCATTGTCTGTATTTAAATCACTTGATCTGGACAAATTTCTAGTACCTACTAACATGACATTGCAGTTGGCAGATAGGTCACTGACCTATACAAAGGGAATCTTACACGACGTTCTTGTGAAGGTTGGGAATTTCATTTACCCAGCAGACTTTGTGGTTTTGGACATGGAAGAGGATAGGGATGTGCCCATCATCTTGGGGAGACCTTTTCTGGTGACAATTGATGCAATCATTAAGGTGAAAAAGGGAGAAATCACACTGCACTTTGATGGAGAGAAGGTTACCTTCAACATCTTCAAAAATATGAGATATCCTGCTAAAGTCCATAACTCCTACATGGTAAGAAGTATAGAAGTAGAAGAAGCAGTGACAGAAGAAATACTGCAAGATGAGCTCCTCAAGGAACTCTTATACCCAGACAGTAATGAGGAAGAGGAAGGAGGGGATGAGTACATGATCACTTGCCTGAGAAGGCTCAACCCAGTCATGAAGAAAGTGGTAAAAAAGGAGATTATTAACTGCTGAACGCTGGAAGTGGGTGAGTCCAGTGTAGTGCGTGCCCAGTATCTGACAGTAAGTGGGTGAGTCCAGTGCAGTGCGTGCCCAAAAAATGAGGAATCACAGTAATAAAAAATGATCTCCAGGAGCTGATCCCTACAAGGCTGAACAAGTCATAGAGAGTGTGCATGAACTACAGAAAGCTTAATAAAGCTAACAGAAAGGACCACTTCCCTCTTCCCTTTATTGATCAAATGCTAGATAGATTGGCTGGATTCATGTATTACTGTTTCCTTGATGGTTTCTCAGGTTACAACCAGATTGCCATAGATCCTGATGATCAAGAAAAGACGACATTCACCTGCCCCTATGGCACATTTGCCTTTAAGAGAATGCCATTTGGACTGTGCAATGCACCTGCAACATTTCAAAGATGTATGATGGCCATTTTCTCTGATATGGTGAAAGACATAATTGAGATCTTTATGGACGACTTCTTGGTTTTTGGTAAGTCGTTTGATGCATGCCTGGACAACCTTGGACTGATATTGAAGAGGTGCATAGAAGCCAACTAAGTCCTCAACTACGAGAAGTGTCATTTTATGGTAACTGAGGGGATTGTCTTGGGACATAAGATCTCACAAGAAGGAATTGAAGTGGACAAGGTAAAGATTGAAGTCATAGAGAGGCTCAGCCCACCAACCACAGTCAAGGAAGTAAGGAGTTTCCTAGGCCATGCCGGCTTTTACAGGAGGTTCATTAAAGATTTTTCAAAAATCTCTAAACCAGTGTGCAACTTGCTTGAAAAAGACACTGCTTTTATTTTTTATGAATCTTGTTTAAATGCATATACTGAACTGAAAAAGAAACTCATCTCTGCACCTGTGATCATCACACTTGATTGGTCATAGCCTTTTGAACTAATGTGTGATGCTAGTGATTTTGCAGTTGGTGTTTTACTTTGACAGAGAAGGAATAAGGTGTTGCATGTGGTTTACTATGCTAGTAAAACCCTCAACCCTGCACAAATCAACTACACCACTACAGAGCAGGAAATGCTAGCAATTGTGTTTGCATTTGACAAATTCAGAGCTTATTTGCTAGGAATAAAAGTCATAGTCTACACAGACCATGCTGTCATCAGGTACCTGATCAATAAAAAAGAGTCTAAGCCTAGGTTAATTTGATGGGTGTTGTTGTTATAGGAATTCGATTTAGAGATAAGAGACAGAAAGGGTGCTGAGAATCAGGTAGCAGACCATCTATCAAGACTAGAAGAGATTCCAGAAGACACAACTTCAATTTCAGAAAAATTCCCTGATGAGTCACTCTGGCGAGTGATAGGCACACTCATGGGAGTGACAGGTAACAGGCCTTGGTTTGCAGATTTTGCTAACTTTGTTACTGCTGGTATTATTCCTCCAAATTTCACCCCTCAACAGTGCAAAAGGTTCCTTCATGATGCTCAACTCTACCTATGGGATGAACCCTACCTATTCAAAAGATGTGCAGACCAATTGATCAGAAGGTGTATTCCAGAACCTGAGTTCGGATTCCAGAAACAAGGCCCAGGAAGGATTAAACAATTCACAAGCATGGAGAGGCTCTCTTGATTGAAGAACCGGCTTTAGGGATCTATAAAAGGGGAGCTGCACTCTCAGAAATGAGCATCTCTGGCTACACCTTTCAGTTGCCAAGAAAACACAGAAAAACTCCAGAAGAAAGCAAGAAGGAAGAAGGAACAACAACAACTCAGTAAGGAAGCCAAGTTGAAGAACAGCCATCCCAGTCACTGCCTCACTTCCATGAGTGAACTCTTTCACTCTCAGGAGTGGTTCAGAACTGCACAAGCTTTTTTTTCGTCTCTTGACTGTTAGCTTGAACTTCGTTTTATGATGCATACTTCTATGATGTCTTTTGATGTAGTAAATGTAACATTAATCAGCATGAGTAGCTAAGTAGCTTCCAGGGGTTAATCTCCTCAACCTATGTTGGAGTTGTTGTAATGCACTGGTTCTGTTCTTTGTTTTGAAGTTGAAATTTTTTTCTATATTCATTTACTTGATCACTAAATTGAATGCATGTTAGAACTAAGGGAGATCTGGAAAGATAAACTTGGTTTTTGGATTGTTTCAACTTCAACTTATGACATAGAGGTAACAGTCTATGGTTTTAACTAAGATAGGAATATACTTAGTTGACATTAGCATCCATGTAAGCCTAAGATCTTAATGACTTTATAACTGGAATCAATCATTGGAAAATAGGTTGTTAAGGTTGCAAAGATAACTCTAGGAAAAATGGGAACTGACTTAGAGTTATAAGTGAGCTGAATGAACAAGAACTTAACCATTACAATGCTGATTATACAACTACTGCATTAGGAAGAGGAGATGAACACCCTGGCTTTTATTCCCCTGAGTGACTGTTTCCATTCCCTTGAGTTACAACTTGTCTAAACTAGTAGTCTTTTAACAACGAATTTGGTAATTAGCTGTCCTCGTGGGATCAATCTAGCTTCCATTATCTACAAAAATCACAATCCAAGCTAGTAATATTTTTGGTGAACTCGGCACGCACTACTCCTCCTATTCTCCTTTCACCAACAATGGCTGGCCGAACCGAACCCACACAAGTTCCCACCTCTTTTAAAACCCCGAGCAACATTGACATTACCACATTTGAATACTTTTGAATTCCTTGCCGGCCAAACTCTCGAGAGTTTCAAAGTCAAACAATGTTTGATGAGAATCATATCGCCTTCCATGGTGGTTCTCCTAGTGAGGGGATGAGCTAGTCCTTCATTCTAGTTTTGGGATACCAAGTTTACTTTACA